CATCTATTTCCTTTTTGAATTAAAAGAAAATGCAGCACTAAATATCATACGAAATTTTTATACTTCATTCAACTTACACTTTCAGGTCTATTCTATCTAAAAGAAACCTGAGATTATCTCATGGGATTTCCCCCTCAAGATCCATCATCTAGCAAGCAACAGTAGAGAAAAAAGGAACAAAATCAGGGATTTACAAAACCAGAATACGTCACAGCCTGAAAACTAGAAACATAAAAACACTATTGATGTTACTAACCCTGCAATTTGAATAATAGCAGTTCAACAATTAGCAACAGGATTATCCGCAACCAAGAATGAAAAGGCAGAAACTTTATCATTAGTCGTCCCTAACATCTGACTAGCCAAAACCATCTTCATATCCCCAGACATTCCTTTCGATGATTCATAATCTTTAGCGTACTGGCACATCAATCTTCCCCCAAGTTCCATCTTCTTCTAGACTAATTTCTTCAGCTCCTCCACATTTCTAACATCTACAGCCTTTTCCCCCTTCCCCTCCTCTCCAAACACTTTCTTTTCCAACTCCGATTCATCCTCGTACCACGCACTCTGGGGCATTTGAGTTTGACATTTTTGCTTTTGCATTAGGCTTCAAAGAGCTCAAAGTTCCTTCGCAGAAGCAAGCTTACGGGGAGAGAGTATTTTAGCCAACAGAGGACGGGAATAACCAAATACCTAAGAGAGGTGGGGGATAGATATTCCCGGGAAAGCTAACTAAAAATTCACTGTTGGTATTATTTCATTCCTGGCACTTGGTAATATGAATGATCCAAACATGGGTATATTCTCCCAGGAAAAAAATATTACTCTCATGAATAAATTATATCTTGAACCAAACGGGGCCTAAGAGTACTAGCTTACTACCTACTATTAACTAACCATAACAACTTCTTATAGTTGTACAACTAACTTGTAACTACACAGCGACCACATATCTCTCAACATATATAACCTTTCATAAGCTAGTTTCTTATATATATAATCAATTATGTTCAATTTATTTATCAATTAATCTATGTTAAGTATTATAAAAATTTAATATATCATTTTTTAAATAAGAAAGAGTGCATCTATACTTTATTTAACTTTATTTAAAGGATCTAATATTTTATTTCATTAAATCATTTGATCATATAAATTTTTTTAATATAATATTATAATATATCATAATACAATACCTAATATAGTTTAAAATACAAAGTATAGTATGATTTAGTTTTAATTTGATGACATTATTATTGTATTTGTTCAAAACTCTCAGCCTTTTGATAATGAAGGCTCGTAGCATATACAGTGCTAGAATCTGATACCTCATGGATAACAATTTAATATTTATATTCAAATAATTGATGACATTATTATTGTATTGTTCAAACTCTCAGCCTTTTGATAATGAAGGCTCGTAGCATATACAGTGCTAAAATCTGATACCTCATGGATAACAATTTAATATTTATATTCAAATTGATATTTATGATTTTTAAGTAATAAAAACTAGAAGATCAAGTTTTGATATCAAATTAAATTAAAAATTAAATTTTATTATTTTATTATTATTATATATATATATATACTAAATTAAACTTTGAATACATATCTAAATATCAAAATATATATATATATTCCGTTAAAAATCTTAGGCATTGTGATATTTACATAAAAATCTTAGGCAGTTCGATTAATGAAAACATAATCTTTGATCCGTTTGTTTGATGTATACTTTTCCCTTTTTCAGGAGTTTTAGTTGGAAAATTAATTACGGTCAAAAGAAATTGAATTACAGTCAAAGGACAAAAGGGGTTATAGGTGATTATCAAACGAGTTGATTAGTTGCGTACTACTCGCCTCGTGTTCTTTAAAAAAAAATTGTTTCTCAACTTATAGCGTATTAAAATTTTACTTTCGTGTTCATTAAAAAATTTGTTGTTCAATTCATTGCTTGTTAAGTTCACCAAAATTTTTAGGTATGATAATTAGGATTTGATTTTTGGGTTCAATAAACTGGTAATTATTAATTAATAATTTATTTTTTTATTGTTTATTAGAAAATTAATATATTAGTAAATTAATAGTAATAATTAATTAATAATTTAACATGTTTCGTGTTATCTATTAGTAAATTAATAATTGTTATTTAGACTTTCTTTTTTTAATGCAATAATTTTAAAGTAACTATTACAAAATTATTAAAAAAAAATTAACAAACAGCTCACGAACTTATCGAATTGAGTTAAACTTTGTTCGATTCAACTTGTTAAAGTCTCAAGTCGAGTTTGAATTCGAATCAAGTCAACCCGAACCGAACATTGGCCTAATTTTAACTGAATTAAGTTTAAACAACTCAAGAATTGCTCAACTCATTAATCACTCCTACCTCGTACCGCCCAAAATGGGGGGAAAAGCATTAAAACAACAAATTAACAAAATTGAAATAAAAAATTTACTGTTTACCACAAAACAGTCTCTTTCATCTTGATAAATTGAGATAGATTAAAGCCAAAAATTAACAAGGAGAACCCATATATGAACATTCAAGATTTCAAGGAAATATGTATATAAGTGTGTCTTAATTAAAACATAAATTATAACTTGATTCTGTATGTAATCAAATAATGCAAACATGTGATAATTGCTCATTGCTAAGAAGTATAATTCGATTATTCAAATTCAAACTAAACTGGAGAAATACAATTCAAATCCCATTTGGCCAAACTACGATGGGGATTTCTTGTTCCTAGATGCTTGGAGTGCTTGATGAATGAACTTATTAGCCACATGAGAGAGTTCCTTGGTGGAAGACCCATTTTCACCAAGTACCTTAGCAGCTGCTTCTTTAAGTTCCTTCATTCTGGTTCTAACACTGTTCCCTTCTTCACCTTCCATTAAACCCTTAACAACCTTTGCAATCTCGTCCCCGCAAATCAAGCCATTTTCGTTAGGTTTCGGTCTCAATGCGACTTTCGCATCCTCAGTTAATATCAAAGCGTTCATCTTTTGTTCTGCGTAAAGCGGCCATACGATTAGCGGCACCCCGTTAACCACACTTTCGAGTGTCGAATTCCACCCACAATGAGTCAAGAACCCACCGGTGGAACTATGGCTCAGCACTTGAGCCTGTGGTGCCCAGATGGCACCAATAGACCCCTATCCTTGGTCCTCTCAATGAACCCTTTTGGCAGGAACTCAAAAGGGTCGTTTTGTGACTCATTGCGGAAAAATGTGGCGATGGCAACGCTGTCATTTGGGCTCCTAATAACCCACAGGAAACGTTGCCCACTCATTTCCAATCCCATAGCCAACTCATTTAATTGGTTCATTGAAAGTGTCCCCCCACTGCCAAATGATACGTACAAAACCGAATCGACCTCTTGAACATCGAGCCATTTCATACAACCGGAGCCGTCCGGTTCACGGCTCGAATCGGCATTAACGAGAGGACCAACAGGGTAAATCGGTGGCTTACTCTCTTGCAAGGCCTTTATTGGTACTCCTTCCAAGTCCATGAAGCTGTTCACCATGATCCCTTGAGCCAACCTATACCGCTTTGCACGATGAAGAAGCCACTGGAGCCTCAGTGGGATAATGAAGGTGACGTTGATGCTATGTTGGTGAACGAGTCGCTTGGCGAACTGAACGAGTGGAATGAGGTGACCCATCCCTGGACTCGGTATAATTGCTATATGGGTTGTTTGTGCCTTCGCCGTGGCTTCTCTGGTTCAGTTTTTGGTGTGGAAGACGAGGAAGAAGAAAGCTGAGATTTAGACACATCTCGTAGGAAATTTCATTCTCTTAAATAAACCATACGTTTAATACCTAAATTATTAGGTATGTTTCGACACGGCATCAACATAAAAACACAAAAATCTTATCTTACAATGGATGCTTTGGATTTGGATGGATTTTCCCAATTTTATTCTAAAAGAGCTGTTATTGTTATTGAGTAAAATAATAATGAATAATGTTTTTGTTTTATTTATAGAAATATCCTAAATACTATTTATTGACTGTTTTGTTTCCGATTATTTAAGTTGAAATTTCAAACAAAATATATTTATTTTTTAGATGTTTATTTTAATCTTATGATTTTGTCTTAACTCTGAAGTGATTTCTATAGTTATAATCGTAAAGATTAAAGAAAACATGACTAATCAAGAAAAAATATTTTTTTCATTCATTATTTCATAGAATTGAAAAAACAAAGAGATTAATGTTTACAAAGCCCTTTAGAGCAACTCCAGCGCTGCGCTGGAGTGGAGTTGCTGAAGCACTGTGGAGTCTCCAGTCCTGCGCCAAATGCATCTCCAGTCTGAAGAGCAATTGTAGCTCGACGCTACATGTAGCGTGCCACTATAGCAACATGTAGCTTAGGACATAAGATCGATTCCTCTCGATCTCATTTTACCATTATTTCGTTAATTTCATCAATTTAATTCTTTTGATATTTTTCCATACTAATTCAGAATAAATCATATGATTATTTGACATACAATGTAAGTCACAATAAGCTAGATACGATCAACAAGTCTTATTCTCCTTAGTAGATATACTTTCAAAATCCTCTTAAGAGTCATGAATCAAAATCTCAGAGCTATCTTTCAGATTGTTGTGGTGAGTTTCGACCAAGCAATTGAGAGATCTTTCAACAACTTTTATTACACGAACTCTTTTGATCTCGGTGCTAAAAGAATTGTTATCATTTCTTGAAATTTCGGATTCTATTATCGAAAATATTAGAGATACGAGTGTTCAATATCAACAGGATAAGAATTCTAATTTAAGATAACTAGTTTTGGTGTAAATCCTTTTTAACAAGATTAACGACTTCATTTAAAAAATATATATTTCATTGTAATTACAGTAGTAACCTTCGTCCTTCTTATACATTGGCCTTGGTTATGAGTAACCTTAGGCATAACTAAACCTCTTGCCAAATCCTTTATCACCAGTAAACTTCACCAAACACACGCGCCCTCAAATCAACTGGCAGTACACGCACTCAAATAGTCCATAATCTCAAGCTCTCGAATCAGCCGCCGCCACCAGTCCACCACACCTCTCTCTAAAAAGAACCAACACACAAAAATCTAGAAATATAGGGAAAAAGAGAGAAATGCGGAACCTCTTTTTACTATAAATCGCTTCGGAGATCCGATCATATCGATCGCCGGATTATCCTCCTGTGTAGTACCGTGATCCCTTCAAGCCTACCATAGAAAACAATTTCTTAGGGTTTCTTCAAAGATATTTTTATTGCTTTTTGTATTTTTTGGGTTTCAATGGCTTCGGAGGATGTGAAGACTAGCGAATCGGCGGTTTCGAAGATCGTTAATCTAGCCGAGGAAGCGAAGCTAGCGAGAGAGGGCGTCAAGGCACCTAGCTATGCTATTCTTAGCATCTGCAAGTCCCTCGTTGCCGGCGGCGTCGCCGGTGGACTGTGAGCTCTCTCTTTCTCACTAGGACTGTTTTGTTTGTGCCGACGGAGAATAAATTTGAATATCTGGAGTTTTTTTTTTAATTAAATGTTTCGTTTAATCTATATTGTTTTTACATGCAGGTCACGAACTGCCGTTGCTCCCTTGGAACGTTTAAAGATATTACTTCAGGTTTATTTTGTTTAATTTCTTTGAGTTTTACTGTATTGAGAAAGATGAATGTTTCTATTTCTGAATTGATTGACTTCTCTTGTGGGGAAACTAATGCAGGTTCAGAATCCACATAGTATAAAATACAATGGAACGGTTCAAGGCTTGAAGTACATTTGGAGAACGGAAGGTTTTCGTGGATTATTCAAAGGCAATGGTACTAATTGTGCACGGATTGTTCCGAACTCTGCGGTCAAATTCTTCAGTTACGAACAAGCTTCAAAGTGGGGTTTCTGAATTCTGTTCAATTCAGCTTGTTATTTATTGTTCTGTTGGTTGATTGATTTTATCTTGTCCATTATCTCTGTGTTGCGAAGTTCGAGTGACTGTCATACTGAAATTAGTTAAGTCTTTTAGGCTAATGTTTACTTGTTCCCTAAAATTTGATGATCAGTTGAACACTGTCCAGTCCTTGTGTGACTGAACGAAGAAAAGTTCAAACCAGTGTTGTCAAGAATGGAAAGGTGCAGTTGAAGCCCTAGAGTACTTATACTGCTTGCTTGAGGCGTAAGGCACAAAAAATGTGTTAGTCTGAGTTGACTAAGGTGCAATATGTGTATTTATATACGTGTGTGTTTATGTGTGTGTGTGTGTGTGAGAGAGAGAGAGGAGAGGGAGGGAGGGAGAGAGTGTGTGTGCATGGAAAAGTTCAAACCAGTTTGTCAAGAATGGAAAGGTGCAGTTGAAGCCCTAGAGTACTTATACTGCTTGCTTGAGGCGTAAGGCACAAAAAATGTGTTAGTCTGAGTTGACTAAGGTGCAATATGTGTATTTATATACGTGTGTGTTTATGTGTGTGTGTGTGTGTGTGAGAGAGAGAGAGAGAGAGAGAGAGAGGGAGGGAGAGAGTGTGTGTGCATGTATAATAATCTTAAGGTATCTATGATAATAAACTCTAAATAATGGTCCAGCTTATCTACAAAACTTGCACAATTTCTATTTCTTTCATTTTCCAATAAGCATGATTTTCTTTTGGTTCTATGTTTGTTGTTGAGTAATATTGAGAAGTAGAAAATTTTATATTATCCCCCCTTTTGCTACTACAGGTACAACTAATGGAAAAAAGGTTTAAATAAATATGAAATTAAAAATAATGTTGAGAGGCCTTTTTTGTGCCTATCACCTTACAAAAGAGTATGCCTAAGTGTATAATATTTGTACCTAATCAAATATGCGTTTTTTGTAAGGGTTTGAGGCATTTTTGTTGTTTGACACTGAGGATAACTCCCAGGTGTACGCTTTGACGACACTGATTAAAACTGATTGCTTTTGGTTGAGCTAGTGCAACCTATCAGCCTTAAGTTTCCTTGAGGCTGAAAAATTCTTTTCTTTTTACCACTCCTAAAATGCATGTTCAAGTTGTGAACTGAAATAAATGTGCGTTTCTCTCAGCTGATTGTTCCTTGTTATTTTTGTGACAGGGGAATCCTGTATTTGTATCAACAGCAAACAGGCAATGGTATTGTTGCTAATTTAATCAACTTCTTTCTGAGCAATGAGCAATTTATCACATGTTTGCATTATTTGATTACATACAGAATTAAGTTATAATTTATGTTTTAATTAAGACATTGTGACTTTTGTCCCTCACATGCTCTAGGGTCAGTGTTAGAATTATATGAAACTTATACACAGGTTTCCTTGAAATCTTGGATGTTCATATATGGGTTCTCCTTGTTAATTCTGCAGAAGATGCTCAACTCACTCCTCTTTTACGCCTTGGAGCTGGAGCATGTGCTGGAATAATTGCCATGTCTGCAACTTACCCACTGGACATGGTACGAGGAAGGCTTACTGTACAGGTATTATCTCTTAAATATTGTTTCAGTTTGGAAGATGTTTGATGTTTCAATTTTTGGCTTTAATCGATCTCAATTTATCAATATCAAAGAGACTGTTTTGTGGTAAACAGTAAATTTGTTATTTATTTGAATTATTCGAATTAGAAGAAAATTTGAAAATTGTTTTAATTTTTAATTCAACATCAGGGAATTTCCTTGTAGTTTGGCTACCTGAGTAATTAATATTTTAATTTTTTATATCGCAGACAGAGAACTCTCCTTATCAGTACAGAGGTATGTTCCATGCTCTGTCAACTGTGTTGCGGCAAGAAGGCCCACGGGCATTGTACAAGGGTTGGCTTCCTTCTGTCATCGGAGTTGTGAGTTGTTCATTTTCTTCTATTTGGAGTTTCATAGTTCAATGGTTTTGAATGTCATGCTGTGATGAGGTCATCCCTTGGCAGATCATAAGAGCTTATGAGAGAGAGAATTGGGGAGGGGTGAAGAATCCTTTATTCTTGGGTCACATGATAATGGAACTTATGCTCTTAGTAAAATCACCTTCCAGGGAATTTTATTATGGAGCTTTCTGTAGTTTTTTTTCCTACCTTTTTGTTTTAATTTTCTTGGTCTTTAGTCCTTAGTCAGTGCCATCACATTCTTGTGAATTTGTGCTTAATGCTTTTCCCCCCATTTTGGGTGGTTTGAAGTGATCATCTGGTTTACTGTTGGTGAATTACTGTATTATCCGACAAAGAGAATGCTTTACTTTATTTGTTGTGTTGTTGATTTTGAACTCATTTTATGTTTGCAGATACCGTACGTGGGTTTGAACTTTGCTGTCTATGAATCTCTAAAAGATTGGTTAATAAAAAATCCCCAGTTTGGTTTTGTTGAGGACTCTGAGTTGAGTGTGACAACCAGGCTTGCTTGTGGGGCTGCTGCTGGAACTGTTGGACAAACTGTTGCTTACCCTCTTGATGTCATTCGTAGAAGAATGCAAATGGTAGGATGGAAAGATGCGGCATCAGTTGTCACAGGTGATGGGAGGAATAAGGCTCCTCTTGAATATACTGGCATGATTGATGCATTCAGAAAAACTGTTAGGCATGAGGGTTTTGGAGCATTATACAAGGGTCTGGTCCCTAACTCTGTGAAGGTCAGTAATTTATTTTATTCACTTGTTGATAAATGCTGGAATAACATTTTTTTTCCATTTGATTGATAGTAAATTTTAGTTTGGATCAGAGATAGCTCAGAAAGAGGTTGCACCAGAAAGATTTTCATGCTATTCTTTTTTATTTTCATGAAATGCCAGAAGAAAAAGAATCCTTATGTATTTTGCATGATCATAGATCAAATATTATGACGTTGTCAAGACCTCTGCGTGATTTTGTATTAAACCGAGATCTGCTTAAAAGCTGAAATGTTAGTCATGATCTTGCTGGATGCAACAAAGTCTTATCTTGCATATGCCCTTAAAAATTTGTCCCCGGAAGCTACTTTTCATCACTGATGCAAATGGCTTGTCTTCCCAGGAATAAATTATTTGTAGAAGTTGTTATCTAGTATTGAAAAGAGCCTACTTGATAACTTGCAATTACTTTTTGCATGATTTTCTAATACAATTAATGTTTTATTTATGCAATTGAATTTGAAAATACATCTTTCAATTGTCAATAATTAATATTGTTTGTTCCCTTCATTTTTTCCAGGTTGTACCATCAATAGCTATTGCATTCGTGACATACGAGGTGGTGAAGGACATTTTAGGAGTTGAGATCAGAATATCAGACTAAACTGGTACCAATTCAGCTTAATGTTCAAGGGATGTGTGTGCTATTTTTGTAGGTAAGGGGATATAGAGCAAGAAAAACTAGGGGATGGTCTTTTTAACCATTTTTTGTCTATCGCAAAAAAATGATTTTAGAAACTGATATGAGCCTGCCCATAATTTATTCCGTGTTTTGCTATGTTACCTTGTGAACACTGTAGCTTTCGGCTCCCCATTCATATTCCGTGTCAATAAAAACTGTACTAGTATCAATGCAGTCTCACATTTGCCTGCCCCTCTAGATTAAAGTTGAGAAAGCAATTTCTAAGCTTTATCTGAAAGATCAATTGTGTTATTTCTGTGGTGTAGTTGACATTTTATCTCAACAAGGAGACTGATTAGGCTTTTAATATGAATTGAAATTCAACTTTACAAGTTGATTGCCATCGGTTAAGGTCAATGCATGTTATAACGGATCCGCTCATGGATTCCATACTATTTTAAGTACAATAACTCGGAATGCATTTGTTTTTTCTCTGTCGTCTTCAGGATGATGACATAATAGTGCTCTATATGACTGGTCTTTCTCTACAATGTTGGATGCTTGCTATGGATTTTTCTTTCGGTTCTTTTTGTCCGACTTATATAAATCTGCGAACGATGGTTTTGGTGATTTAATACTGCTATGGACTATGTTACCACTTATGTCAAGACATGAGTGTTCAAAAAAAAAAAATAAGAGTCAAAATAACATCGATCGGTTTGATATTCGGGAATTCTTTCCAATGATGTCTTCTTTGTCGTGGGATTCTTTATCTTGTCTTGCCCATTCTTTCAAATGTTTAGCATGAGAAGTAACTGTTGGTCTACCTTATTCGTCTCGTTCGCCGAGATACTCGGCGACGAGACACTCGGCGTGGAGTCGGATAGGCATACTTTTGATACAGAGGACAACTTATTGCAGGTTTTAACAGTCATATTTGTGAAAGAAATTGTGTCTACTGACAATGTCACATGGGGAACGTACCCAAGCTCCGACCCAGTATATATATATATATATATATATATATATATATGTATATATATATATATTATATATATATATATATGTGTATATATATATGTATATATGTGTATATATGTATGTATATATGTGTATATATGTATGTATATGTATGTATATGTATGTATATGTATATGTATGTATATGTATATGTATGTATATGTATATATATATATATGTATATATATAGCACAAAAATGGCGTACTAAGCCTTTTATATGCTCTGAAACTTTATCAATTTTATCCTATTGCTAAGCCTTACAATCAGCATGTTGTATTTTGTACTTTTTTTATATTAGATTATATAATATAAATGGTTAAATTTCTCTAAATTTTAAACACCCATGATAAATAATTAACAATATCATGCATTTTGGCTTAGAGGTAATCCCATCTTACAAATAAATAAATATTTAACTGGAAAATTTGTTTTTTTTATGTAGAATTGATTTTGGGTTGACAGTAAAAATTTTGTATCGGATATTAGGATTAAAATAAAATAAGATATTAAATCAGTTAGTTAGATTAAATTGTTTTATATTTGAAGTATTTAATTTAATATTTAAATTAGATTAATCGGTTTGAGTTTCAATGAGTATCACATATTTATATTTGATTTTCATACATTAATTAATAATTGACAGTGTAAATTGTTGAAACCGATTAAAGTTTTTGAATAAATTAAAAAATTCGAATAAATCAACGTATTTAGGTCGAATCAATTTAGCAATAGCTGGATTAATTTCTCAATTTTTATAAAATACGATGTTAAAAGTTTTATAAATAAAAATAGAGGGACTAAATTTTCAGTTTTCATAAAATAGATAAATGAAATTCAGAATTAAACCCTAGAACTTGTAAAACATTCATTCTCATGAATAAAGTTGGGCAAGAACAGAGATTGTTCATTATTGCAAAGGATTAATGGAAAGTAACAGTACCCATAAGATATATTGACTAAGTCTATGGCCTACATCAATTGGCTTCAACCGACAGCTATAGCACAAACCACCATGAGTGGTTCACATTTTGTGTGGTTTACAAGCGTTTGTTTGTAACCATTTGTTTTAGATGTGCAGCGCTGTTAACACTGCAATCAGTGGCGTATCTATGTGCAAGTCAAGATGAACACGTTCCTATTTTTAAATTCTAATTTTTTATGTTTTTATTAATAATACTTATTTTAAAGTTTTATTTATAATTATCTCATACGAATATTTTTTATTAATACATATATTTTAAATTAAAAAATATTTTTAGATCTGTCATTTAATTTTGGTGAGCAGTGGCCGCCACAATGGGTCGTTTCTAGCTTATGGGTGTAGTTATACTGATGTTCCATTGGTGGGGAACGCCTCTTATTTGTTACAATCAATGGTGTGGTATTAGAAAGAATTGGACTCTCCAAGGTTGATTTGAAGTAGTTATGGAGGATCAATGTTGTCTGAATGGGTTGGCTGAATCGAAAATAAATGATTTGATCGGTTTAATTCATGATATTCAATTGGCTACGAATGAAAATGTTAAAAAATTAAGCGAAAACAAAAAATAAATTGATTGAATCAGTTGAATAGAATAAAATAGGGTACAAAGTATACAAATGGTCCCCTAATTATAAGATGTTATTTTATTGAGTCATTTGACTATTAAAAAGTTATAAAATAATCACCAAATATAATATTTTGCTTTGTTGAGTCCCCTTACTATTAAAAACTATAAAATGGTCACCCGACTATTTTATGTTCCAAACTCGTCCTTTTTTGTTAAAAATTGGACGATAATTTGAGCTGTATGTTAACCTACTGAGTGAGATATAATAAAATATGTTCTCGTAGTCTCAAACAACTATTATATCTCAATCATCATATTAACGTATAACTCAGACAACCATTAATTTTTTAACAGAGAATGACAAGGTTTAGAAAATAATAATAAATAGTCGAGTGATCATTTTGTAATTTTTAATTGTCGAGAGACTCAACAAAGAAACATATTATAGTTGATGAATCATTTTGTAACTTTTAATAGTCGGATACTCAATAAAGCAATATTTTATAGTCAGAGATTTCCTCATGGATTCAACTTACTTTATTAAATGATAAAAATATTTAGTATATTGATGAAGGAAAATTTAATTTTATAAATAAATTATTATTTATTATTATTTTGAAAAACAAAAATAAATAAATCTAAAAGAATTAATCGAAAACCTATTAAATAATATTTTATATGTAATAACAATAATGCTTCATTGTTCCCTACATGGCTACCGGGTGGAGATGATCAGATCAAATCATTGCAACAACCATAACTATGATTCTTACATTTCAAATTATATCATCTAATAAATTTATATATAATATTTTTAAATTAACAAAATGGTATTTTGTAATTCATTAATAATATTATTATTGATACAAAATTTAAAATTTGTATTTTAATAATTAGCCATATTAAAAAAATCTATAATAGAAAAATGTCTAAACTATATCATTTTTCTTATTAAGGTGTATAAATTTTTTTGGGTCAATTCAGGTGTCTAACATTATAAACGTTATCATTTTAAGTACCCCGACTATAATGATCATTTAAAAATTCATTAAGTGACACATGTCGTATTCTAGTAATTTTGAAAATTTTATTTAAAAAAAGTTAAAAATATTATTATATTAAAAAACCCTAATTTCTCTAAAATTACAAAAAATAAAACTAAATCCCTAAAATCAACTCTAAAATCACCTTAACCTTACCATCTCAATTATCAGCCACGATCGCCTCCACCACCCTTGGTATCTCCCTCGCCGTCCGTCTTTGCTCTTGGCGTAGCGCTTGTCGTCCGGTCGCCTGGTGTCGCGAATTTTAAAAGTTTGGTTCACCTATGGTGTCGGGTGGAGGTTTTGGTGGAGGCTCGGTTGACGACAACAACGACAAACAAATCGATCGATGTGGGTATAGAAATTGAAATTATGGTTCTCAAAGTTTGGAGTTTTTTTAAAAATATTTGAGAAACTTTTGGTGTTTTTTTAAAGATATAAAATAATTTTAAGATTTTTATTTTAAATAAATTTTTTAAAATTATATAAATGCAGCACATGTCATTTAACGTATGAATATAATGGCGATGACAGTCCAAACACCTAAAAGTATAATGTTGGAAACGTTATGCACTTAACTTGACCGAAAAATAGTTTAGAGACATAAATGGAGAAAAAAAACACTTATATATTAAAAAATACTATCTAAAGTTAAAAAAAAAGAAAAGTTGGAGAACATAAAAAGAAAAAAAAAAGAAAAACGAAGATCAGATTAATATTGTGTTTGTACAATTATATATCTAGAATTTTAGAATTTGATATACTTTCGTATAAGTTTTTATTATCATCGATTATAATAAAATTCTTCTCTCTATTCATAATAATTTTGTTTAGTTTTTTACATAAATATATACATTTTTATTTTTTTATTTTTACTTTGTGATTACTTAATCATATCGAGTTTACAAAACAAATACGAACATACCAATATTAATAGAATATCAATACACATGTTGATGTAATTAACACAGCTCGGTTTAGAAAAAAAAACCAACATAGCTCACATTAAATCCACTATAAAAAGGGTCACCACCTACTCCAAAGTTGCATCACACTCTTAATCCCAACCATACAAGGCGGACAGAAGTAGCCACGCCGCGGTCGGAGCCTCGATGGGTGTAGAAATGGGTTTGGAAACACTCAGACCAGTAGCCAAGGTATCGCCAACTCCGACCCTAGGCAAAGGGCAGAACGATGATCAAAAGTCAGTGCCAGCGCAGGCTAAGAGTTGGTGCGGCCATTTCCAGATGCCGTTGCACTACCCGAAGTACACCAAAGCCGACTACGAGGCAATGCCCGAAGGGAAGCTCAATTGTTTGCTAAAAGAGTATGGACTACCCGTTTCCGGCGATGTCGAACAGAAGAGAAGCTTCGCCATGGGAGCTTTTCTCTGGCCTTGCTAGGCTACAATATATATCCATAGTAATCCCTTTGTATGCTTTGGTTAGTTTGCTTGGCCAAGTGATGAAAATATGATGCTTTGAGCTATGTATTTGAATTACTTGCTAATATTTGTTTTCTTAACTTTGTGAAATAAATCGTAGTGTTTTTAAAGTCAAATTATTTGATAAATAGGTGTTGCCAGTACATAATTACAGCGCAGTTCTACGGTCCAGCGTAAAATTTAAGGTTAAAACCATGAAAATGAACGATCGAAAATGTGATCAAAAAGCATAACGTTTTAGATTAGATGCAACTTAAATGTCACATTCTTTGTAACAATTTTTGTAGCAATATATAATATTACCTTCTTCATATTATTTTCGATTTGTAACCGAAAATGTGACATTCATTGTAACATTTTAAGTTGCAACAGAAAATGTTTATGAAAAAAGTCATATTTTAAATTGTGTCCAACCTAAAATAATATTTTTTATCACATTTTTTTCGCTTCATATTTCCATCATTTTTTAACTTTAAATTAGGTTGACTTTCTTTAGAATTTTGCCATAATTACATTAGAAATATCTATTTTTTTATAGAATAAAATCCTAATTTTGCCGTAATGTTTTTGTGTTTGAGAATGGTTAAATTATCTGAATTAGATAGGTTTTGATTTGATTTAATTTTAGGGTAAACTATATGTTTAGTACTCTAATTATCATTTTTGTTTTATTTTGGTCACTTAATTAATTTTTTTCAAAATCATACCTAATGTTACGTTGTGGTTTCATTTTAATCACCCATCGTTAAAAAGTTAATAGAACTGATGACATGAAATTTTTTATTTGTTTTCAATAATGATGTTGCATTACCTTATGGTTCCATGCCAACATCACTGTTAAATATTTAATGGCGTCTGACCAAATTAAAACCAAACCAAAAAAATTAGGTATGATTTGAAAAAATAATAATTCAGTGATCAAAAGGAAACAAAAGTGATAGTTGAGTTACAAAACTTGTAGCTTACTCTTAATTTTATAGGATTACTTTTTTTAATTTAACTTTGGGACGAGTTAAAACGATTTTTGTTAATGAAAAAGTCAGAATCAAATTTAGAATAAATAATCTTCGAAACGGAATAATTACTATAGTTATATATATATATTGATAATTATCATAATATCACTCTATATATTCCTTTTCTAATTATCAGAACCGACCCTATCTCGCACCCATCACTATTGATGTTAGATAGAAAATCCCTTTTATTACGTTGATATCACTCTTAATTTGGGTTCAATGTGAACAGAATAACTACCTTCAGAGTTGGTGGGGTTCATAAAATGATTATTATATTAAATTTATGATTGAGTGTTTGATTTGTTTCTGAGTATGGCTGATGCACATCTTATTTTTATCGTTTTCGGATTAGTGTTTATGCGGCCAGAAGAGATGTTCAAAAGATGTTATTGCATTATAATCCGGAGGAGGAAAATTTCTGTTAAGTGCTTAATGAAAGTTAATAGTCGAGGGATTAGAATTGATCAGACCAATAACATATTTTAATTATCACGTAAATTTTTTGTTAAGAGGTTAATGAAATTAACGGTTGAGGGATTATAATTGAACATACCAATAACATAAGGGAGCAGAACTATTTTTTTAAAACCAATTACCAAAATCGATCAGACAAAAAATATACAGAACTATTCGTATAATTTACCTTAAAAATTGAGAATGAATATCATTAATAAAATAGATAACTAATATAAAAAAAATCTAATTCTTTAACCATACTTCACTCTCCAACAAAAATGCTTTACCCAATGTATATACTCGATAAATCTTGAGTTTTGATGGTCTACGTGAAAGAACATCAAGAGAAACTAAAATATATATTTTTTAAAAAAAAAACCCCTTTTAACTATATCACTTTTCATAAATAATCCCTATATTTTCATACAATTTTTAAAAATAAACCTTACATTTTTATCATGCCTACATAGATCCTTATCCTATTAAAGGTCAAGGACCTATTTGAATACAATAAAAAGATAAAGGGTTTATGTACATAAGAGTGATAGTTTTGTGAATATATTTTAGCCAGCCAAACAAAATCAAGGAGAGTGAGTGCAGTAAATGGCATAAAGGAACTCAATGAAGATAAGTGGGTTAGTGTCTAATGGTTAGCACCAAGATGGAATATAACATTAACGTTTATCTTCAACCATAAAAGAACTCAATGGCATGACGAATAAATTCCGGTAGCCATCCGCCTTGCTGCCTATAAATGTATATTTGCCTTTGTATTTCTTATAAACTCCTTCGTCGGCTTTGATCTCACCATGAATTCATTATTCACCGCGAAACTAGTTAAACATTTTTCTAGTATTCTTAGAAATCACCCAAAGTAATAGGACAAGCTTTGCGGGTACCTTGTCTGTCCAGGTGGAATGTTTGAGAATAAATCCGTCTTATATGAGTTTAGTATCAGAGATAAATCCATGTGAAATGTTTGATAATAAATTTATCTTATATAAGTTTGATAAAAAATTTTAAAAGAAATAAAATTATAAAATTTTAAGAAATAAAAATAAATTATTAATAAAAAATATTTAAATATATAAAAATTTATTTTTTTTAAAAAAAAACCTATACTCATCCAACCCTCTTCGTCAATCTATCCATGGTCGATATAGTTTTCAAATAAGTTATCGAGATTTAGGTGGACAATGTTAGTACACCTAAGTTATTTTCGGCTGCCAATTTAATGTTTCATATCAAAATAAAACAAGTAAAATTCATTTTCTTCAAGACAAAATATTTGATAAAAAATTATAACTCAACTACATTTTATAAACGAATTAATTACAATTTTATCGATCAACACATTTTTTATAATTCGCCAACAATTGAAAGTTTATTCAAGAAAATAAGCAGTATTTAATTTTTAAAAAAAAATCAACCAGTTGAGTAGATATCATATAAATGAGTTAATAACCGAATTGATCACTTTCTTTTGATTTTTGTATACTTTTACTGATCAAATTTAAAATAAATGTTATGTTTCAGTGATTTTCATCATTAATTTATCAAATTTTGGTCACTTACAATGTTAGTTTTTATATTTTGATCAGTCAAAAGAAGTTTGATGGCATTTTGTGTCAGTCAAAAGAAATTTATTTTTAATTTAACCGCTAAACTTTAGATAAAATACTAATTTAACTCTAAAATTTAAATAAAACATCATTTTAACCCCTAAATTAAAAAAATATCAATTTAGACCCTAAGTTAAACCCAAAGTCTCCCGTCACCGACCCCAAAGCTTCATGTTGTTCAACAACATATATGGGCTTAACCTCTTACATTAATATGGAAGCAAAACATGTGAGTTTAACCAGATTATTGATTAGCTTCAGAAGGTTGTGTATGGGCATTGAAATTGTCAAACCCGCCACTTGTTGGGGCAGCAGGACTGACCTGATATGGTGCAGACGTAGCTGGGGTTCCATTAGAAGAAGTGGGTGTCATCGCAGTTCCGGCAACTGTCGTTGGAGTAGCCAATGTAGGAGGTCGTGGAAGGCTATTAAATTGTCCCGGCAAAGGAGCACCAGGTGGTGCCATCATCGGCGGCATGCCTGGAATGGGAGCATAACCTGCCAATGACACCCAAATGTGTATATGCATATATATTCATTCAGTCCCATATTTCCATTTTATGTGTGTAATCAAAGCCAATGCCTTAATTGAATGGATGACAGTGTCAATCAATCTATATGAAGTGCTTAACATATAAAACATCTTTATTAGTAACAAAACAAGCAAAAATTTATCACAGTCCACAATCACACATAATTCCAGATAGAGTATGTTTATTAACAAAATACGCGTACAACAAAACACGAATAATATATTACACGAGCACTTGCAAATGGTCTCGGCAGACTATGGGGCCTGATTCCTGGGACCATTGGTTGATTTACATCTAACAGTGCAGTTCTAAGTAGGGATGTAGACGAGTGAAGTTTGAGTAGTGCTAAGTTTAATTCAACTTGAAAAGTTTTAAATTGAGCTTGAATCGACTCAAAAGTTTGCAAGTTTAAAATTGTCAAGTTCGATTCGAACTCGAAAATAATAATTTAAGCTCGACTCAAGCTTGAAAAAATGTGAACTCGAAACTTTCTCAAACTTAGCTTGATTGAAGCTCAAACTCGAGCTTGATTAAAGTTCAAACTCGAGCTTGATTAAAGTTCAAACTCAAATTCGAACCTGAATCTTAAATGTATGAAAGCCTTGTATTGTATTTTTTTAAATATATATGTATAAATATTAATATTATTAATAATTTAATTTAGAAAATTAAAAAATTAATATATAATTTTTTGATTTGCTTGTGGGCTTTTTGAGTCGAATATTAAGTAACTCGTTTCGGCTCGTTAAGAACTTCAGTCGAATCCATTCGATTTGAGTGTTGACCGAACTTTGATCGAATTGAATTTGAGAAGCTCATGATCTATCTTATCTCATTTCCTGCTCTAATCCCAGGAATGAGATGAAGTGTGAAAAAACAACTTCTTGATGGAACCAAAACAAGCATGCAAAAACTCATCAGCTCACCATCACAACATCAATTCAGGTTGGGATACGTTTATTACCCAAATATTGAAACCTACATTAGCAAGGACACGAAATATGCAACTATGTATCGAGTTTGAATCTTACCAGGAGCACCAGGAACAGATCTTGGCAAAACAGGGGGCCTCATTCCTGGGACCATCGGTTGATTTACAGGTAACGGACCGGCCCCGGGGATCGGCATAATAGGAAGTCGGGGCCTCTGAGCCATTAAATGTTGATTGAAAGCAGCTCCAACCTGCTGGAAAGCCGCAGCTTGGCCCAGATGTTCCTTGATCCTTTGGTCTATTAAACTCTGGGTCTGTTGCTCCTCAAATTGCTGATAGTAAGTTCTAACATTCGCCTGTAAAAAAAAACAACAAATCAGCAAAACTGACAATCAATACAGAGGTGAGAATTTCATCAAGTCAAGCTAAAAAAATTTGAGTTAATTGAATTGACGAGTTCTATTTTATAACTTAAACTCTATATGAAATATTTTCTAATCGAGTCAAGTTGTTCGAATTTCTATTTAAATTTAATTGTAAATAGTTATAACATAATGACACTAATCGATTCAAATATAAACAGATTTCTATAATCATATACAATATTCAAATATATTTCTTCATATTTTTTCACATACATATGCATATATAGCGTAGAGTTGGATTTATTTGAGTTATATTTTATAACATAATTTATCTGAAATTTTTACGAGTCGAGTCAAATTGAAAATTCTCTAGATAAATCAACACAAAGACAAGAATCTCTACAATCACCTTGTGTTTATAACCTGAATTGTGTTGCTTTCTAACTGATGGCTGAAATTTAAACCCAGAAAAGAGAAAAAGTAAAAGTTACTTAAATTTCGAGAAATTCAAACAAACAAAAAATGAAAGACCCAGATGGAAAAGAATTAGGAACTAACAGAGTCGTGGGTCAAATAAGTGTCGCAATAATCACAGTAATACCTGCAGAATTTGAATCCAAACAAATATTGCCATGAAATGCTAATGAAAAAGTTTCGTAGTGATAGCGTTTAATCAAGATTGAACAAACTTGTAGATATCATTACCGAGGCATTGCGAAACGACTCGGAACCGAAGCTGAATGCTTGCAGATCGTAAAACCCTAGAAAGCTTGCACCGGAGCAAGAACCCTAGCTTCAATACAAGGAAAAAGAAAGAGGAATTTTACCTTTATGAGTAGAAATTTCTTTGGGCGTAAATATTCAATCTGTAATGGCAGAGTTTTAGGATCGTCACTGAAATATATGACGAAATTATTGGCTAATCTTTACATCTAGATGTCTCTAAGAACCGGATCTTTTTCGTAACTCGGTTTCAGTATAAAATTATTGGGGTAGAATCTACCATAGATCACTATATTATTATTATATTTATAATTGGGTCACTTTATTTCAAAAGTCATAATCGAGTCACTCAATTTATTAATTGATTGTAACAATTAGGTTATTGTGACATTAAATCTTGAACAAATGTTAATCTTTTTTGGATAAATTTATATTTTAATCATATGAGTAAATCCCTTTCTAATTATGCAACGAAAAGTTGAAAGTCTTTTTGTAACTTTAAAATTAGGGTAAACTATTTGAATAGTCCCTTATGTTTTCAATCTGATTGACCTTGGTCACCAATTTAAAAATGAAGGGGAAATAGTCTCTAACGTTATTGATCCGTTTAATTTTAGTCCCTAATGTTATCGATCCATTTGATTTTAGTCCCTCAGCCATTAACTTCCGTTCAATTTTAACCCCTCAACCATGTTAGGGACTTAAACAAAAGGGGATTAATGAAGATTAATAGCATAGGGACTTAAATCGGATGGACCGATAATGTGAAGGGCCATTTACCTTTAATTTTTTAAATTGGTGACCAAAGTCGATCAGACCTTAAACTTAAACAAAAGAGACTATTCTCATAGTTTACCCTTAAAATTAATAGTTAGATGGTATTATAATCATTCAAATAAACAAATCCTTACTTTTATTTATAGATTAATAAAATATAAACATATCGAAGAACTTTTGTTCAAAAAGAGCCCTAAGACAATGAGAAATTGATATTACACCCAACATGTAAGAAACTAGAAAAGAAAAACAAAGAGTTAGCTCATAACCAAAAGTTGAGCGATCAAAATGTAAGCTTACTCATAATTGAGTGATCCAAATATAAATAAAAATTGTAACATTCGCTTAAGATTTAACAGTACAATAACATGATTGCTACAACCAAATATGAGTAAGCTTATATTTTGGTCACACATAAAGAGGCCTGGACGAAACTCATACATAACTAGGTGAAAGTTGACATTGATGATGCATGAAGTGCAGACACGTGAAAAGCAGCTACTGTAGTGGCTTCACTATGATTTTTATCATCTTTTGCAACACGAGGAAAGTACAGCAGATTTTGACTACCAATCATTGAAAATAAAGATCTTTAATCAAATGCCTTACATGTATTTTTGGGTACAGACAAATCCTATTTCAACTCAGTAGTATCCAACTCCATATCCACCATTCTGTGGCAAACAAAGCACCCAACAAACAATCAGAGCAGCCAAATAGCAGAAATCAAACATGTTTACAATGGGACTCAAACCCACAATTTCTTTCCAAAGGCAAGCGCCTTATCCATTAGGCCACATGAATCCATTTTCAAAATGTAATTATCTTTTGCTATATAAGAAAATAAGAGATTATCTGCATTCGACAAATATTCAAAATATGAATACCATGTTAGGTAGTTAACAGTATCCAAATTTGCACACCGCATTTTAGTTTAGAGAGCATTGTTGTTGCTCGGGACATATGGACAGTTACCTATGTTCTTTGGAACATATGGATAGGTCCTTCGGGACACAGATTTCATAGCCACTTAGTGGATTTTATACGAGTTGTGGTGACAACATATGTGTGCACAACCTCATAGTACTCGTATACATTGAGTTCTCAATAGTGTACATGGGCTTAAAAAGGACATAAAGAGTATGCACATGATTGTGTCTTCATACGATATTATTATTTATATTGCTTCGTATATGGTATAATAATTTTATGATATGACAGACATAATTGAATTTGGATAGTAGATTGCATGTTTATATTGTTATAAATTCTTTATTATATGTTTATGCCTCACTAAGTCTATGACTTAGCATGTAAGTGGTTTACACGTAGGTATTGGAAGACAAGAAGATCAACCATAGGAGCAATAGAGCAGCATATCTCCGCGTGACGATCAGATCAGAAGTACTTTACACAGTATGTTTTAGTTATGTAACAGATATGTTGGCATGTAAATAGTGTCATAAAGTACACATGCTCTGATCAATTTTGTAATGGTTTGAACTTCAGTATGTATTTACAAGTTTAAGTAAATAAAAGTTAAAATTTTTCATAGTTTTATAAATATACATGTTTGAAAAGTCAATGTGACACCTCATATTCGTATCCGAGTCTGATACGAGTTGGGGGTGTTACAATGTTGACATCCTTACTACCGCACGCTTTTTCACCGTTCGAATTCGTCGTCCGACCACTGGAACTACTGTCTTCGAAGACTAGAAGGTAAACTCTCCTTGTTCTTTTTTTTTCGAATGTGTTTTCCCTTTTTGGTTCTTTTATCCCCTTTTTTTACCCCGAATGCTCTCCTGATTTATGGATCCCTTTTGGTAGATATCATGAAAATCCCTAACATAGGGGAATGGGTCTCTGATTATAGCTGATAAAATCCTGATTTTTTATATTTAATTTGTTATTTTAATGGATTTTTGGATTTGATGATGTTCTTTATTGTAGATGATAATTTAGGTACACTGTTCGACAGGTTTGATGAAGACGGCGGCGGTGTACGACTGGTGAGGTGACCGGTGAAGCTCACGCGCATCTGGAAGTTGAAAAGTCAGGTGTGTGTATCACATGCGCCGATGATGGACGGCTCACCTTCTGGTCGTCGGCGACTGTAGAGATTTAGGGTTTTAAAACCCTAATTGTTTGGGTTATCAAGTTAGGTCAATTCGGGTTAGGTTACTGGATCCTCTTGGGTCGGGTCGACTGTTGGATCAGATCTTGCGACTGGGTCTGGGTTTAAGTGTTGTGTAACATCCCAAAAAAATTGGGCTAGTGAATGAAATGAAAGTTTTTGAAATTTGGTGATCAATTTAAGAAAAATTGAAAAGTTCAAGGACTTAAAAAGGAATATTTTGGTATTGGATTAAATAACAAGGATGGAAAGAATGAAGGGTATTATGGTCTTTTCAGATTAAAAGATATTTTCTCTCATTTATTAAGAGATAAACACATGGGATTTGAGGAGTTATATGGAAGCCATTTTTTCTTGCTTTCTTTTTAGTCTTCCCGTAAGCTCCATTTCAAAGGTAAAATTCTGGATTTTTGTTATTTTCTTTAAAGTTTGGGGTTGTATAGAAGGTTTGGGTGTTATATAAACTTAAAGAAAGCTTGTATAGGATTAAAATCACAAGAAGAGAAAATTAGAAGGAATTTGTAAAATGAGTTTTGAAATGAATTGTTAATTTGGTGTAGTTTTTGAAGTTTTATTTTGATATTTGACTTGTCATAAGTAGGAATGAGAAGCCTAAAGTATTAGAAATGAGTTTAGAACACACGAAAAGTTTAGTAAAATTCTTAAATTCAAGAGTTATAGTGAGATATTGAAGATAATAAGGTATAATAGTGCTAAGAGATATTTTAAGTATGTATAGTTGAGTTTAATAGCATGAAGAGAGTTAAATAAAGGGAGTTTAAGTGAAGTGTTGATAAATTTAGGGTTTAAGAAATATATTATGAGTTAGTAGTATCGATATTGGTTGAGTGAGTACCGATACTACAAGGCAAATTATGTGATAATTATGCGTAGGATATCGATACTACATGAACAATATCGATACCATAAGGAAGAAAATGGATAAATTTTCATGGGGTATCGATACTGAAAGGGTAATATCGGTACCATGGGTATCAGTACCATGGGTATCAATACCAACATGGAGGTATCGGTACCATTCTTGCAAGGGAATTACAGAATCGAGAATGGATATCGATACCGTGGAAGGGTATCGATACTACCAGCATAGAGGTATCGATATTGTGCTTGTAGTACCGATACTACTTAAGTTGGAAATTAAAAATTTATGCTTTATTTAGTTTGCATTGGCAAGAATCTTTTATGGTAATTCAAATCTCGATATTCATTGGATTGTATACTCGTGTAGATATCGATCAAAAGCAAAGTTCGGACAAGCTGTCAGAGTAAGATTTACGAGAGAGAGTTAAGAGATTGGTATTGGAAAATGAGACCAAGGTGAGTATATGATATTAAATATAAATTATGTTAGGGAATTAAGACTTGTGATAAGTCTAATTCTGATATTAAATTACATGAGTACACAGATACAAGCATGTATTGATTTGATGTTTATATGTACATGAGTATATATATGTATAGAGGTTAAGTGTATATTTATATGTGATCTATGTGAATACATGTATGTGTGATAAATTATGTGACCATGAGCCATGTGATAATAAGTTGTATGATTATATGATCATAAGAGATAAGACATATGACAAGAGATATGTGAAAGTGATCTATGTGACTATATGTTTATATGAATACAAGAATATGTGATATGAGATATGAGACTCCATGAGAATATTACATGATATATGTGATAAGAATCCATGATTCTATATATATATATGATATGAATGTGTGAATGTGTGATAAACATAAATGATAATGCCCATGATAAGTGATATGAGAGATAGGGGTATAGTTGGCATGCCAAGAGTTGAGGGTTCTATGTGGTCCTTCATGATATATATGTAATCCTTTGGAGCATGTATGCGGTTCTTCGGGACACATATTTGGTCCTTTGGGATATATATATGTGATCCTTAAGGAGTGGTCCTTCGGGACATATATTTAGTCCTTCGGGACAAATTCTATGTGCCCCTAGTGGGAATTTATACGAGTTGTGGTGACATCATTTGTGCACAACCTCAATGTACTCACATACCTTAAGTTCTCAAAAGTATTCATGGGCTAATAAAGAGACAAAATAAATATATTGTATGTAAGGTATATGATTTATGATGTGAAATGTACTTCAGGATATATGTGATGTTGTGTATATTGTTAGATATAAGAGTAAATGATTATATGAATTAAGGAAAAGAATGTTAATCATGTAAATGATGATATGTGTGCATATAAGCTTTGTGTGGTATGAACTGTAC